TATGTTTACATGAAGGTGCGTAAGTGTACGTGTACATGGAGTTCATCACGTGGTCAGGTCAAGTCTCCAGTACTCGTGGCCCACAGCACCACTATGGCAAGTAATTAATTCTAATTTAACTAATTAGTGGGATGGACCACGCCCACCCGGCCTTCACGCCGCCCACCCACCACGCCTATCCCGTCAGTACGTCGCCAACCTACCACACCCAGCCTGCCTGCACGCCCTCTCTCCCTACACGCCACCCATCCAGCCTTCCAGCACGCCCACCATCCAGGTGGTCTGACAAACATCCCCACCCCACCCCTCACACTAATAGCCCTAAGATGCAAATCTCCGCCTATGGAGATAAATGGGCAATACATCATCACCGCCATACTCCCATTCCTGCAGCTGGAAGAAAAATGGGCCACATGCAGACCCCAAACAAACCTGGAGAACCCGGGAAATATTAATGCCTCCATCTGAGTCGGCGAGGTAAGAATTTATTGCGGCAGATCCTCAGCTACAAAAGTTAAAAGTCTGGCCAAGTTTTGCCCGGCATGTATCACGGGTGTACCGGGGCCATTAATAATGCCAATGTGGTGGAGTCCCCAAGAATCTAGGCGAGGTTTCTCCAGAGGTCCGCCTGGTAGAAACGTTCCCATAACAGCTGATGCAGGAACGAATCTAAAGTGGGTTACTTCAACTAGGGCGTCTCCTCGAGGAAGTGATGTGAACACCTATCACAGGGGCTTACTTGGCGGTGCTTCCTGAGCGCATAGTTAAGAGAACTTCGAGAACCCAAGTATCAGGCTTACTTAAGCTACACCACAGAGATGGCTTTCAAAATGGCGTTCAAATTTTAAGGTGACTGCACCGTAATTAAATAAGCTCTCTTCACGACAGCTTGGGATAACCTTAACGCACCAATCTCGAGTAATCTAGACAGTGGCCCTCACCTATATTAAGTCACTGTCAACTAAGCCTTTCTGGTGGTCGACGGCATGAACTTCAATGTGTGTGTGTGTGTGTGTGTGCGTATCAGACGCTGTTCACGTGGTATTCATAAACACGAGTGGCAGCAATATGACTAAAAACTTAAGAAAAAAATGCCATTAATCTCTATTTGGAAAAGGAAAAAAACTCAACATGGGGCAACACGAGGAATATTGAGCCTTACAGCGATGAACGTCTGGCGAGGGTGACTCATGAGGCACACGACTGCCCAACATATAGACCGAGCAAAGTACTACCGGGCACAAGCAGAGTAGTTGGGCAAGGCGAAGGAAGTGGTTGGGTAGGCCTAGGTTGGGTAATGGAGTGGTGACGGTGTGGGCGGCTACAGGAGGGGAAGGTTTGTGGGCTGGCTCAACCATTATCATCATCAACCGACACATTCCTTCACTCAAGACATTTTACACTTATGTACAAGAACATTTGGGGCGAAATGAAGGGGACGGGGTGACTGTGGGAGGAGGATTAGAGGTGTAGGGTTGTGGGAAAGGTTGTGGTAGGAGGTAGTAATTGTGGGGTAAGAGGGGGAAGTGGGGTGTGACATAAGATTGATGGTTGTGGTGAGAAAGAATGGTTGTGGTAGAAGGTGGACACAGAAAGAGAGAGAGAGAGAGAGAGAAAATGCGTCAAGCCATTCGGGCCCTTCAACACACCTCCGCCACAGAACCCACCCATCTTGCAGGCCAGATCAACAACAAAGCAGTAAACACCATTACGACCAAACTTCCAGCCGGTAATGTAATGAACACGAGTTTTCAGACCTACCCGACCCACAAGTCTTGACGCCGCCGCCGTGACCAACAGTGACAGGTGGTATTAGGTTGAGACAGGTGGTGAAGAGGAAGGTGCTGGGGGTGATGTTGTGAGGGGTGGGAAGGGGGGTGGGGTGGGGAGGGGTGGAGGGGGAGGGGGGCAGAAGGGAGGGGTGGGAGGTGTAGGAGGGGTGGGAGGGGGTGTGAGGAGGTGGGGAGGGGTGTAGGGGTGGGAGGTGTAGTGAGGGGTGGGGGAGGGGGTAGTGAGGGGGTGGGATGGGAGGGGTGTTGTGAGGGTGTGATGATTAAATCTTAACGTAGCAAAGCAACAATCCACATTAGCTCCGGACCTCCCAGGGGTAATGAGGGGTGGGGAGGGGTGTTGTGAGGTGTAGTGAGGGGTGGGAAGGGGTGTTGTGAGGGGTAGTGAAGGGTGGTAAGGGAAATTGAGAGGAGTGTTGTGATTAATGCTGTGGGAGGGGGGGTGAGGGGGGTTTACTGGGTTGAGGGAGATGGTGAAATGTTATTAAATGGAGGAAGAAGACGTGTAGTGGGAATGCTGTGAAAGGCAGAGGTGGAGAAATACAACGAGGTGAGATGAAGATGCACAAGGAGACCAAGATTAAGGATGATGAGCAGAACGAGGTGTTACCGAGGTTTAGCGAGGTGTTACCGAGGAATTACCGAGGCTTAGCGAGGAGTTACCGAGGTTTAGCGGAGGGAGGAGTGAAAGTTGTTGTGGTAACCGAAAGGAAGAGTACTGAGGAATTACTGACAAAGGGCGGAGACACGAGGAACAAAGACGAGAGAGAGAGATGGGGAGAACGTGGTCTTAGTGAGGAGAGGCGTCTGTCACCACCACACACTCTCAATAACACCATACATACATACATATCAACACCACCATTAACATCAGCTGTCATTATCCACCAGCAGAACACACGTCACTCCTGGGGTATCACACGGCTGACCCTTCTCTAAAAGCTGTGAGTTTCTTGATCACGTCTGACAGATACATATACACACAGATGAGAAGACGTGCTGTGAGGACTGTCGCATCAGGATGTTAGAAAACCTTATATCTGTGTCTGCTTTGGTCTTCGTCATACATCTCGGTCAAGAAAAACGTCCCGAGATAAGCTCTTACTCTATTTTCAGTCGGATTTTTTTTTCTCTTGTGACAGTGAGCCTTCATTCTGGTACTAAAAACTTAAACCTGTTTTGCTTTGGAGTGACTGTGACAACAAACTCTGTTCACTCCACTAAACGATCTCATTCAACAAGTGATGAGTGAATCAAAGAGTGAAACTAACCAGACGAGAGTGAGAAGGAGTGACAAAACACACACACACACACACACACACACACACACACACACACACACACACACACACAGCCACACGTCAATAATATTAACCATGTTGATCCACCTGACCGCAAACTCGAAGCAAACACAACCTCCGCCACTCTCGCTCTCCTGGCTCAACCACCACCACCGCCACCACACACTCGCTATCATTATTAACCTCTCACCTTTCACAACCATACTGCTAACATAAGCGACTTGAGATGTTACAAATAACCGGCAGCCTTTCGCGTAACCCGTAAGCTCCACTACTAACTCTGTTACTTCCTCAACTTTATATATATATATATATATATATATATATATATATATATATATATATATATATATATATATATATATATATATATATATATATTTCATGTAGATCCACAATGAAAACGTGGATAAGATAAGGTGCTCCTGTTGTTTCTTTCCCGTGATATATATATATATATATATATATATATATATATATATATATATATATATATATATATATATATATATATATATATATATATATATAGAAAACTATGGAGTCTTTCTTATCATCGCTACCTACCTCATAACTACCCACTACCACAGTCATTTTTACCCACGACTATCAACCTCACAGCCACTTCACCTCACAACCACACCCCTCCACTTCAACCACAAATAAGTACCAGTACTACCACTCATTACACAACCATCGGTATCAACCACCATTTCCAACCTCACAACCACACCCCTACACCACAACCACAAATAACCACCAGTACCTCCCACAACACAACCACCACTACCAACCTCACCCCCACAACCATACCAACCATTACTCCCACCTCCCCTCCTGACAGCTACAGTTAGTTGGTCGATACACCTGGCTCATATCAACACAACTTCCCTACTTATCGACCCAGCTCGCGACGCCCCGATAACAATTAGATACTGTCGCGGTGGTTGTCGTATTCACCATGCCAAACAGGCGACACAGGGACCAGGAGTGTGTCAGGGCGAGTGTCGTGTGCCGCCGCCTCCTCCCTTTTATGGCTGTAGTGGCAAAACGAGGAATTAACGACTGCCATCTATCACAAACGGAAGGTCCTTTTAAGAGAAAAAGTGAATCCAACGATGCCATGTTTAACGAAGCCGAAACGGAAGCCTAGAAGAAGAGCTAATTAATAAAATCTACACACACACACACACACACACACACACACACTTCCACAAACAACTCAAAGACTACGTTTATTTATACGGAAACAATATTTACTATCAACGATCACAGCAAGCAATGAACGGTAAACACGTTCACCAAACCAAACACCCATCATCGCTCACTAAACCAACACCACAAACAGTCCTGATGATGGCCGCTAAATACTGTACTGTGGATAACCGAGGCCAACCCGTAACTCACAGACAACACAACACGACGCACCAACACACACACACACACACACACCCCAGCGGCGGCATCACCAACAACTCCCTCTTTTAATTCGTGGCCACTTTGACTCCCCACCACCACAAACTGCACCGAATACTATATAAATATTTGTTGTGCGAGAGAGGAGGTTCTGCGAGGAAGGGAGATGGGACGGGGAGAGCAGTAGTGTGTCAGGGGTTAAGTGGTATCAAAGGAGGAAATCATTTACGGGAGAGAGAACGAGGTAAGGGGAGAGGGGAAGGCGAAACAAGTCGGGAAATTTGTGTGTTATAGTAAATCACACGTGGAGGACCTACCCCGACAGCCAGAGCCGGAAGCAAAGGGGAAACATCAATGGTTCATATTAAAAACTTCAAGCCAGAGAGGGTTGGCTGGACCCCACCCAGCAACACGACACACTCGAGAAAGATACAAACCAATTAAAAATGGTGAAAAACATGAACTACACCATCATACATGACATAATCCTCTCACCTCTGAGCCATGAGGTAGGCACCACACGCCCTGTCATCACAACTTCACAAGCTTACCTGGGGAGAAAGAGAAGAAAGAAAACATTAGTTGCTATCCCCTGGAGTGGAAGGATTACAATACACTTAGTGAGTATATCTATAAAATATTTACTATGTGGGAACTTACTACACAACCTCTCACACTGATGTTACTAAATGGAAAATAAAGATCCAGGCTGGTGTTATGAAACTCCAGTAAGCCTATTGGTCCACATTAAGCATCATTGTTTACATTCAACATTTATAACTCATATATCTGTCCTACCTACAGTATATTTGAAACTTCCCAACGATCTCATATTAATGGCAGTACCTAGTTATTTATTTCACTCATCCATATAGGATATTGACGCACAATACTTCAGCTATACTTGTAAAAATTAACTATAAAAAATAACACTCAATGAATACAACCAGACGCACACATGTATAGTGAATATTGACGCTGAGAATACAACAGTGGCTTGTACCAGTGACCTCACTAGAGGGTGCACAAGTACGGGACAGTCACAGTACCCCGCCCTGCACCTGCCAGCTGATCCCCGTATTCTTCATACTCGAATTTCACTCTCGACTTCAAGTGCCAACCCTTGACGTTTCTTACTCAAGAAAAAAGGTAAATATAATTGAAAGTTGCTAATAACTACTTTATTCACTGTAGAATCTTGCTTAAACCTTTAAAACTCAGTACAGACTATAAATCCATTGCACTTAAAACACTACTGCACACAGCTTTCTTTTAACTTAAATAAATCACAAAATAATATCCTAAGCAATTAATTAATAAACACAAAACATAAATATCCATTACACTTTAATTACTCGTTGTAAAATGTAAAATGCAATTAAATTTATCGCCATACATATCCTTTACACCTATGTCAATCACGTATAAAATATCCAAATGCCTACACCCACGAACTGTACATTAATTACAATAAATCACCATTACACTTGGATAAATCACACCGAAACATCATCCTTTACACTTTTATATAATCACTATAATCAATACAGTCCTTCCTGACGCCATAATCTAATCTAATCTAACCTAACCTAACCTAACCTAACCTAACCTAACCTAACCTAACCTAACCTAACCTGAAATATACGAAAAAAACACACACCTACTCGAGTCAGTTTCTATTCCTAAAAACATACGATGGAGCAGACAAGCGACGAGACATTACGACATTAAGATTCAAACATGATTCCCCGGTTGTCTGTTACTGCAAGATGTATTACTGACGCATGTGATAGTTGAGCACCACAACGTTGGTCTACTCAGGTGTACCCATCCACGTATGCATGACCTCGCATGTCTGGTTACCTGGACTCTATTGCATGACCACATAATGTTTAGGGTTAATTAACATCAACATCAGATCCCCAGAGTAACATATGCGTTGAAGGTCGATGTTGTAATATTTCAACTTGGGTATTTCAAGGTGTGGTGATGACGCAATAGTGTGTGTCTGTTTATAATATACAATGGCGTGTTATTCCCAGCCCTCGCTCACCTGTAAACCTTAATCAATATTACAGGTAACAATACATATTACACGTAAATGCTAGGATTACATATACAGAATGTTTGTTTTTTAAGACAAATTCATCTTTATCATCATATTTCTTCCTCTCCCAGTTTTAATAAGATTGTTGAAGGGGCATAAGACCCTCAAAGGTGTGGGGAGAGGAGGAAGGGGAGAGGAGAAAGGGGGGAGGGTGGAAGAGGATTAATCTCCCATAAACTAAAAGCTACTAAAATACCCATTTGTTTATTAATGGTGAAGTATGAGAGCAATGAGCCTCGACCAGTGCTCAAGGAGGGCAATAATGGCGTGTAATTATGAAGGCGATGGCTGCGCTTAATGAACTTAAAAGTGGTCATGCGTCACATCCGCCGTCTCCATTATTAAGTTACTGGCAGGAGAGGCGAGATTCTCAAACCTACTTCAGCTATTTACCCCGGATCGTGTTGTTACTCTTTGTGGTGGCTGAAGAAAAAAGTCTATTAGTGTATTTATATAAGTAGGAGTATACTGTATATGGAGAGTAGGGAAGAGAATACAGGAGTAGATGAAAACCAAATAATATGTAGGTGAGGATGAAGTAAGGGGATAAACAGGGAAGTGGTGTTGGTGGTCGTGAGAGAGCCTCCTGATGGGGGTGAGAGTGGAGGGAAGGAGGGAGCGCCGGACACACACACACACACAAGATACCTGTCACGGCCCGACGGAAGCCACATAAAACACCTGCCCCATCAACAGCACACAGGAATATACGTAATGGTTCATTCTCAAATTGATGTCGCACAGCTCTCTCTCTCTCTCTCTCTCTCTCTCTCTCTCTCTCTCTCTCTCTCTCTCTCTCTCTCTCTCTCTCTCTCTCTCTCTCTCTCTCTCTCCTTACCCCGCCGAAACGCCCCCATTGAGTGTACCGTGTAGCACTGAGTGTATAAGGTGAACCCCTGAGTGTATTACAAGATGAAGACCTTAGTTTATACCCTGAAGCCCCGTGTATAGTGAAGCTCTGAGTGTAGTGAAGCTAGTGAAGCCCCGAGTGTATAAAGAACCCCCTGAGTGTATTACAAGATGAAACCTTGAATTTGTTACAATGTGAAGCCCTGAGCCCATACAAGATAAAGCCAAGAGCCTACAGGATGAAGTCAAAGAGCCTACAAGGTGAAGCCCTGAGCCCATAATGTAAAGCCCCGAGTCCTAATACCCGAAAAATAACCTCTGTGTATTCTCACCAGACGCGTTTCGCCCTTTGAGGTCTGAGACAAGCCTCAAACTACAACCACCACCCCCTGGTAACAGCCACCATCACCAATAAACACTCCATGGTAACAACAATCACACCCTGGCAAAAACAACCACCATCAAAACTTACCACCACTGCCCAGCAACTGACCATTACCAACGGTATATCACCATTACCCAGTAACCATTGACAACCATCATTACCCAGTAACCATTGACAACCACCATTACCGCTATCACCATTACCAAGCATTTATTTTTAGTACTTTTAACTATCACCAAAACCGATGTCTCCTACGCACCACCAACACCCAGATCTCCTACGCACCACCTCCCAGGCAGTTATCTGGAGCAGGCAAGTGGAGGGTGGCTGGTCTGGGACGTGTCACACCCGGCCATTACTCCCGGCCCGGCTAATAACCATTACCCAGCCTAACCACTCATTAGGCCGGGTAATCACACGATGCTCCCTGGGAACCTGCTGCCAGATGCCGCTCTCTACACCAACACGCTGCTCCCTACATCACCCCCACAACACACGCACCTCGTCATGCACCTACAGTACATAAATTGATGATGATGATGATGATGATGATGATGATGATGATGCAGAGAATATTATTATACTGTCTTGGGTGCAACAGGGTGTCTTCAGACCAAATATTTAACACAGAGATCTTTACATGTTTTAAGGCACTTCCAAATGTATTGGGCAAGACTGACTCCAGGCTGGTCATTTTAGCATTTAATTTATTGATATTTTGCAGTGTGTGAATTAAATTTCGCAATATGCTGCATTTTATTCATATCATTAAAACAGTACAGACAATGCTGAAATTCAAAGGTTCTTATCAGTACTGGTTACAATATTACCTGCAAGGTACTGTGACGGACGGACGAACAGACAGTTACTATTTTTATTCCTTTGTGGTTACCTTCATCGTGACGAGGGACAAATGTGACACACACACACACACACACACACACACACACACACACACACACACACACAGTATATCCCATCATGGACAAGGGGTCATATGTCAGTGGAGGTACGGTATTTAAAAATCATCCATTATTTATAATCGTCAAGAGGCAACAAACAGCACTGACAGGAAGAAGGTCATCATGATGCAAACCTGAAAAAAATCGTTAAAAATGATGAATGCCACTAACATGCACGTCAGTCACTACCCACTGCCAGATAAAAATATGAAGAGCAAGCCAGGCTGATGGATAACTGCTGCCACCCAAACACATGTCAAGAGGTCACTTAAAGTGTCATTCAATTCATCAGAAATTATATATATATATATATATATATATATATATATATATATATATATATATATATATTGGAGGGTCATTAGTTGTGTTAAATGGCAGCTATAAACACGTTCATAATGCATTGAAAACCTCCACCAATCAGATCAGGAAAGGTGTAACTGGGCTGACTAAATTTGCCAAAAACAGAAGATCCCTTAGTGAAAGCACAGCTGTGAGTGACACACTATGATTGGTGAGGCCAGCGTGAGGGCGAGTAGTATTTAGGCCAGTGTGTGTGTGTGTGTGTGTGGTGCTGATTATATAACACAACACACACTCAGCTGACATAGTGTGTCACGGGACACGCGCTGTGCAAGTGACGGTCAACAACCTGCCAAGAATCAGAAGAGAGGATTGGGTAAACAATTGAAGGAATAAGAGAAAAGGGAATAATGAGAGGGGAATTGAGTAGGAATCTGAAACAAAGAAAGTACCGGAGATAAGCATGGAAATGAAACAGGGAGGAATTAGTAACATTAGTTAAAGAAGCAAAAAAAATAAAAAGAAAGAAAGGTTAATTTGAGGATGACAGAAAATATAAGAAGACTAAGGGATATACAAAAATCTAAACAAACCTAAATTAACCTCACCCATCTAACAACCTAACCCCTAATGTAGCGTTAGGGTACTTAACCATCTTACTACTACTGTGCAACGAAAACATGGTACCGAGATTACAGAAGTGAACACTTGGGCCGCCATCGCGTGCAGCGCTGAAGCAGACAAAATTCTGCCATGTTTTTTTTTTGAGACAGCCGTGGCTACACTATGAAGATGTACAAGTCACGTCACACGGCATCGCAAGTAAAAACTTCACGCTACCACTTGTCATGGTCTGTGAGAAACGACACACACATATATATATATATATATATATATATATATATATATATATATATATATATATATATATATATATATATATAT